GTCCTGAAATACGAAGTTGAGACCCAGTAACACCCCCTCCTTGTTCTTTCACTCATCTGCATGAACCAGCATTTCCAACACGCCCAAAACCAATACAGCTTTCGGAGATCACTCATTCTCTCGATCAAATCTGTTCTTTCAACGAATGCAGGACAACACTTGCAGGCTTTTGCAAGACCAAGGGCTCAAAGAAGTTCAAAGAAGCAGAAAATCCTGTTAAGAAGGGAGCAGCAGTGGAAGAAGTTAAATAAAACCCTCATCTACGTTTTAGTAATACTGTCCAAACATTTGAGGAAAACAACTGACTCTCTGGCCATAGGTCATTCTGTGCCATCAGTGATTGCTGGTTTCCAAGTTATGGACCATAAGAAAAGTCTTACAATGGCTACTCCAAGAAGAATCCACCTAGTTGTGGGGCAGGATGAAGAAAGTACACCCTGGTTTTGAGCAGCAATATTGGACACAAGGAACTTCAGGATATTTAAACAGAGTTTCTCTGTATCTTTAGTCAAGTTGCAAAATACATCCCAGGAGAGAGAAGTGTTAGGAAGAAGATACAACATGAAGTTTTCTTGTGCACTTCATTGTCTTACAAATTTAAGCGATACTGCGAAATTACTTTTTACACTTACTCTTAAATACAATAAACAAAATCATTTTTACCTTTTTATATTAGAGTATTTGAATTGTAAACACTTTTTCTGCAATATTAACACTGTAATCTTATCTCAAGCATATAGGTGTTTCCGTAACTAAAACTACAGTAAAATGGAGAATAAAGTTCTCAAAAATCACTCCTTACTCCAACTTGTCTGTGCAATACTGCAACTAAAAAACTTAATGGGTTATGTGGAATAGCAGGCTGAGTGACATTATTATCATGTAATAAACTATTTGGTGCTGTACTCTTGGAAAACCCCTACATGCACAAGGCAAAGGTGGTCTTCTAGTGAATGTCACGACAAATACACATAATAAAAATCAAGCAACATTTTCATAAACGATTCAGATGTCCATAAGTGTTAGCATGACCCGAGAGATATTATGTTTGAGCTTGAATTTAAAATAAACCTGTTATATTTTTGCATTCTATTTCATTGATCAAATGATACGAATTCCTCTTCACAAAGCTGCTATATTTTCCCCACAAAATACATCCGTTATTCCTACACACCCCTCCTCCTCAGCAACTGGGTGGCAGAAGTTATACATGAAAGCAAAGGGCTGCCCATCTGCAGCAGGCTCACTGCCTCCCATCCCTCCTACATTACTCCCTCTACCCCAGCCACCAGGTTTGAGTCCCCATTTTAAGCAAGTTGAGTGAGTGCGCAGGGTACCTGGAGCCATATTCAAGTACCAGAACTCTCAGTGAGGATGCAGGCTACTGCAGACATGAGTTGCAAGTATACACACAATGTGTAAGCTAACAAAGCTTACTCTAGGATGCCAGAAGTACAGCAATGCTTTGGGGTCTTTTTGTACTTGGAGACAAGGAGGCTCCATATATGACATAAAAGTAAGTTTTAAGTCCTCCCCCAAACAGCTAAATGTCTTTGCCCTCAAAAAATGGCAGCAGCAGATCCTCCCTGCAGGAACACTAACAAGCCTTGTAGCCCAGCAGGCATCCGCTCCCTGGACAGCAACACATACTGAACAGCACAGACACAGATGCAAGAGACTCAGGGATTTTTTTTGACTGCCTAGGACCTTGAAGGCTAAAGCAAGCCTTGTCTGTAAGCACAGACAGCCCTGGTTTATCTTGGTGCCTAGCAGAAGAATTGTTTTTTCTTAGATTCAATTTTTTAGATCAAGAAGGACACGTTTCAGTAGCTTTCATTTTACAGGTCAAGCTGATCCAGTCAAATACGTCACTTCTTACAATGGGACAATAAGGAGACATCCCAAAGAGCTTAAGAACTAAAGAAAACTACTTTTTCCACATAACGGTCAAGGATACCAAACCACATACACCCTTCATGCAACCAAATACCTGATGTTCACTTACGCGTGTACAAACAGGCACAACTATTAGGCAGCCATGGTAAAGCCCCTCCACAGGGCAACACCAGTATGAATGCAGTCCCTGCTCCTCGTCTCAAAGACTCCCTTTCACAAGGTCTCTCTCTAACCCCACATGCTTTACTTCTGTCTCAAGATGGCAGGGGGAAACAAATTATCCCAACGGAGTAGAGAGGACAGTTTATACACTATCAGCCCCTACCTAGCAAGGTCTCAGGGAGTATTCCCTCCTCCCCTTACACAACACCGCAAAACCCAGGCACCTGCAATTATACACATGTATACAGGCACAGGCACAGACAGACTCATTTAACCCCTCAAAGTAAAGAGTGACCCAAAGCACTGTCACACCCACAGAAGACCATCTGTAGCACACTAAAGACAGAGCCTGCATCAGATTCCCACTTTTGAGATGCTAGGCTGATACAAACAGAAATACTGCAAATAAATCTCCACATTTTTGTTTCAAACAGAAAACAAACATGTGGCTCAGCCCTGCAAATGTGGAAGAAATTCTTTAGTGCTATCGAAGGCATGAGTTCAAAGACACAAAAAACCCCTCTCCAGCTTCATTAATTATAAAGCTTCCAGGGCCAGGTGATTATTCCAAGGGATGTTTGACACTGCAAAGGCAGAGAAGAATGCCTGAGAAATCCTCCAGCCCCAGATAAAAGCACCTCAGAAGTTTGTACTTGCTGTGACATCTCCCTCCAGGATAAACAAGTCTTTTTCTCCTCCCCCTCATAAAAAATGCACATTCTTCAGCACAGCCAAGACTCCAACACCAGGAGAACATCTCTGGAACAGACTTCTCTGTTATCTTGGGACTACCAGCTCTCCCATTTCAGTCAGAGTTCTCCCTTGGCAGGCCTTAGGACCGAACAGTTTTTGTAACCCCCACACCAAGAGGTGCAATTACTCAGCACTATGAATTCAGATCACTCAGTTTTGCAAACATCTTGTTTCTCAGTGAATGTAAATTAAGTATGTGTGGAACAAGTTTTTATCTCTGGCAAGTGTATCTCTGCACTTCCATCTACTCACGAGCTAGCTTCCTCACCCATGGAACAAATACGGTTAGTATACCACCAGATGCCCTGCTATTTCCATGCTGGCCGTGAGAAAGGCACATGCTTAAAAATGAGCAATGCAGTGAGAGCAGGAAACTGTTCAACTCATCATACCGCCTTGCTCAACCTCTGTCCTCCTCTCCTGTTGTCCATGCACAGCAACTCTAGAAACAGCAGGTACACAACAGTCTGTGGCACTGTATATCTGCAGAGAGAGAGAAGGTGGGAAAGACAGAGCACATACACCAGCACAGAGAAGTAATTTGGCAGTTCCCGTCACAAATTTTGCTCTTTAGATCACCTTAGATCAAATTTTTACAGCCTACTCCCTGAATGAAGCTGCTTATTACATGTATTAGGAATTGATAAATACTTCAGAATTATAGCTGCTAATTAAACAAATGGATCATCTTCAGTTTCGCTCTTCACTTCTGCCAACATGAAGATAAACTGCCAAATCTCTCTAAAGGAAAGGGATATGGAAGCAAACATCACTAATGAGCCAAAATAACTTCTAAACTTCCGAAAACACTTAGTGCGTGATGTAGCTTACTCAACAAAACTTCAGGAAATACAAAATGGTTTGTAAAGGTATCATTTAAAAAATGATATTGCTGTCACCACTGAAGGACACGAGGAATCCCTAAGAGTTCTGGCATACCACATACTCAGTGGATCTATAGGTTCATGCAGGAAGGGAAAACAACAGTTTGTTCTATTTAGCTGTTCAGTTTTTGTCAATATGTCCCATGACCAACAAGTCCTTGAGATCTGTATAGTTAAGGTGAATGTTCCAAAAATGCTTACCTGTGGACAGCTCTGAACAGGAACCGAGGCCAATGCTGACTATGTACAAAATGCACAACCACAGTTTATCCCCAGCTGTGGGCAGTTAAAACAACTCATTACAAAGACTGCACAGTGAGAATCCAGAATGGATTTGAAGGTTTCATCCTTGTTCAAAGAACTCCAGAAGGAAACCAAAATAAAAGGACTTGTTGATTCAAATGTTTTTCAACTCTGGAATGCAGAATTGCTTGACCAGGTGCAGTCCCATTTTATGGCATGACAAAGAGGCTGTAGTCTGCAGACAGGCATCACCTTTGCTGAACTCATCTGTCTAATCTGATGGTTAGACTTGTTTGTGGGTTCTCCTCCCATACAATTTAATTTCCAGTTCCAACTACTCTCTTTTCTTTTCAAGAGCTGTGACCACAGTCAGAATTCAGCCACTCAGCCTCAGCCATTTTGCAGTATTTCACACAATGTGCAAGGCAAGATAAAGATGCCAGACACTATACAAACAGTAAAGGGCAGTAGTTGCAAGAACCAGGAAATATTAAGAAACTCCACTAAGGGAAAATTAACCAGAGAAAATGCAGGTAGCCTGAAGGGAGGAGGAATTATATTCCTTGTTCCTTGAAGAACATAGCTATTCTGGGAGGGAAAGGATGGAGAAGGTGTCGATCAAAGTTCATGATGTGAAGGCAAGATAAGCCACAAGAGATTTGTATGAACAAGAAAAGAGGTGGTTTTTTCCATTTTGTTTTATTTCAATGCTTTTACATGTATAAAATATACTTAAAATACTTTACATTAAAATTAGCAAATGGTTTGCTTCTAAAAAACACCATAATCTCTTTGTGAGCAAGTGCACACATACCTCTGATGCAGCTTTCTGACCTACAGCAAGCTGACTAAAGTGTTTGTGATGTAATACCCTCCATCAGATCAAACATGTTAGAGAGGAGTTTCCTTTCCTCAGTATCCATCCTGCTGATTCAGTTCAAAGTGAGAGATACAGCCTCTCACTCAAGCTCCAATGGCAACTAGTTTATAGGTACCTCCCCAGTCACAGTTTGGAGCCATGTAAGTAAACCAGCATCCAGCATTCAAATTAAATAAGAAACGTTACTCCTGGTGTCCAAATTGTCTCACTATCTTTTCACTCTCTTTTTTCAGTTCCTCAATGTGAGCATTTAGGCACTCCAGGACGTGCTGGGATCTCAGTTCTTCCTCTTCCAGGTATCTTGCAGCTATCGATCCAACTGAAGCTGTAGGCAGGGGGCACTAAAGGGAAACAAAGGGATATCAGGTATTTCATTCTGACTTTCAGTCAGAAACACTACTGATCTGCAAACCACGCAACTAAATATTGTTAGTTTATTTATTATGACACAAGCACTTGTGTCATTTCTATCTTATTGGGCAGACTAAGCACTCAGCTCTCATGCTTGTATCATAGATAAACATCCCTCCCAGGAGTCTCCAAACAACAGTGAAAGCCTACCAAGCCTTTGCCAAAACTGCAGGGAGTAAAATCAGTTCCTCAGCACACATAACTTTTCCATTCCAGTAGTTCCCCTCTCTAAAGCAGTAGGGGGCTAGAGCTGAACAGAAATAAGCTCTCCATGTGCCTATGTAACTGTTGCACTTCACAGGTGGAACCCTGACCCCAGAGGTATCAATAGGAATTGACTGTTTACTTAGGGGAACTGAAGTTTCACTTCAATTACCAGCCACTCCACTTCAAGTAACAAGAGGCAATGACATGCATGTGTAATCATAGCATAACTCTAGAGAAGGTCACTACAAAATACCAAGGGTTTTGTCCTGGGTGTGTTAGTCCTGCCTCACACTTAAGGTCTACGTCTTGCTCCTTGTCTTCGTGAAAATCAGTGAGCAGTATCACCTCAGAATATGGGTTCCAGGGAAGGGAAAGAACTGCCAGACTGGACCAGCACTGGAGATATCTCTGCCTTCTTTTATATACCTCCTCTGCTTCCCTGAAATAATGAGTTCCTGCTACAATCTCACAGGGGAAGTACAGACCAAACTCCCATCACAGCTCACTGAATGCCACTTCAGTTCAGCTAGCAATGGTTGACTACCCCAGATTTTTTTCCTTTACAGTCAAGAACTATTCCTGCTACTCACATATCTTACCCACAAGCTCTTAACTTAGAAAAATAACATAACTAGGCTTAATTTACAAGTTGATGAAGAGAAGCTTCCTGCACAGGGGCTGGCAGGTGAATTATACAGTTACTAAGTGGCTGCTTTCCATTACAGAAAACTTGCCTCAGTGTCTTGGCAAGAGAACGTAACTGGTTATTTCCAAATCCTGGAGTCTCGTGGTTTTCTGGTCTTGTATCAACAGCCAGGAAGAAAGGCAAGCAGAAAAAAAGGCTGCAGATAACAAGCAAATCTCTCCCATCCCACTATTGCCTACTGATAAGAATTCTCATCTGTTAATGTCAAAGGAACTGGTTTAAAGACACTGGAGCCTGACCATGAACATGGAGTCCCAGTCAACACCAGGAAAAATATTTGCATTTCCTTAGAAACCTTATTTCTACCTTTCGGAACAAAAAGCAGCACATTCTCTTCTACTAAACATTATGCCCTAGAGCTTCTCAGACCCTGAAGTGGAACTGTTTGCACTTCAGTTCCAATCCTGCAGTCTGAAGAGTTTCCATTTAGAATATTACAGTTCCCTAAGCTCCCAACATTTGTTTTCTGGACATGCCCACAAGCTACTTCAGTCTTGAAACAATCAAGACCTATTCTTGGTAGTAAACCTCGTCAAAATCTACAAACCTGATAAGGCTCCACAGGTAAGATAAGGCTTATCTGTGCATCAGCCTTAAGAGACTCTTCTCTGGGCTCCTCACAAAATAAAAACAGCCATTGTCACTGCTAACAACACACAACCAGAGGAGAAAATAATCCGAAAACTGCTAGAGGCAACATGTCTGGAGCAAGGATCAGCACCCAGAATTCTCCCCTCCCTGAAGTACTACAGCCTTGTCTGACCCAGGGTATGACAATTATTCTCAGTGGCCCTCTTCCAATCCCCTCCCTGCTCAAGTCAGTCTACAGCCTGGTCATTGCAGTGGATACTGGGATATATGGTCTTAAACACCACAGGCAAGAAGTGATTGAGTCCAAATTTCCTGTATCTTGGGCAAGTGCTCCAGCAACTGATCTGAAGTAAAAGAACAGAGAAGGTGCCAACACTGTTCCCTACTAAAAAAGTATGATCAGCACCTGGGAAAAATAATAGCTTCCCCTCGTGCAGTGAAGAGCCGATTTCAGGCTTTCCTATCAGCTGGCATAAGTGGCTTTAAGTTCAGTATGATGACTACCGCAGTCCCATTCAGAGGGGTCCAACTCACCCCATGCATTACAGTGAAGGTAGATGTGCAGCACCAGCTTTCAGATTCACCCAGAAACTCTATGTTGAAATACTCAGCACTACATCCACTCTGAGCATCTACTACGGACCCAAGCCCAAACCTGAAGCAGAATTCTGACATGACAGAAGCAGTTCATGGTACAGTACAGCACCATTATGGAGAGAACCATGAGCTTCTGGTATTAGCTTATCAGTTAAACCAAACACAAAGCTGTTCCCCAGAGAGTTCTGAAGAATAAGCACATGGCTCCCATTGTTCAAGTATTAACCATCCAGCAGTGGTTTTTCCTCCCTGTTTAACGTTTAATGTACGCCTAAAGAATCATACACACCATGCAGCCAGACCATACATGCAAAAACCTGGCTCCTTTTGCCAAATGAGAACCTAGCTATAACCTTAGCTGTTGAATAGCAACCAGCTTCCATACAACTGCTTACCAAAGGCAGAGATTCTTTCTGATCATTTGAGATGGACTGCTTAGATGTTTCATCTGCCAAATTTTTGTTTCCATCCAGCACACAGAGCAAAGAATCTGTTCCCAGCAAGGTGCCCAAAGCAAGTGACTCCATGCAGTTCTTCCTGCTGGTCTGGGCAGGTAGCTCACCCCCCTCAGGGGTCACAGTTCCTGTTTCAGCTGCCCCCCATCTCTGGGGCTCCCCTTGATGATGCTGAGTAGTCCCATCAGGCTTGTGATGTATTCTCTCTGCTTGTTCATCATGTTTGTGCTGTGCTTCTCGAGTTGTCCTGGAAGGCAGGTTTGAACACATAACTGACACTTTGCCTCTCAGAAGCTGAACTTCAGCAAAAGCTTGTACAGAGGTAACAATTAACATACAGGTCACTAATAGCCCTGGCAATCCAAACCAGGTCTTGTTTCCATAGGACTTCCAGACGCATATCCAGTCTCTAGGAAATTCTCTCTCGCTCTTCTGCTATTGTAGATACCAAAAACTACAGTCTGCACATCCTAGTACTGCAAAAGAAAGGAGCACAGCCACCTGGGCCAAATCTAATCCCTTCACCGAAAAGAACACATACTGCTTCTCAACCAAAAGCAAAGGCAGTCAAAAGACAAGTCTACTACTAGCTGGCTTTCCAGAATGCAAACCAGCTGGGACTAAAAGCTATTGCCCTACTTAAAGCATAAAGGTAGATTCCACAACAGTCCTTTGTGTTCTCCCATACGTACTACGTGCAGGAGATAGATACTATACATAAAGCACATCATTAAAAACCCACACATCCCCACACCTTCTGTTCTCCTTCATAATAAGGAAGCAGCATCCTTGGGGTCATGCAACACCCACCTGTACTGCACATCCCTAGCCCCAGGCTCTCCGTCTTGCATCTGCTGAGCAGTGCCCTCAGGTTCATCCTGGCAGACTCGCCGAGTGAGCTCCAGTTTTGCTCTGGCCTCTGCTAGATCCTTCTGCAATTGCTGGTTCTCAGATTTTAATTTATTTAGTTCAACAGCATAGTCTTCACTGAGTGCTCTTAGAGAGACATCTTTTCCCTAATAGACAGAGAAGGGCTGAAGTCAAAACTTCTGATTTGCAAGACACCATAGTCAAACCCAGAGCAAAGGCCAGCAAGCAATTCCTTAAGACATATCCTCTAATCCCAATTTTGACTGGCAAAATTTTGAAGGCTTTCGTAAGAGCAAATTATACCTTATTGTGTCTGCATCCAGACAAGCTGTGCTGATCTGCCTAGGAAAGGAAGTCTCTCTCATCACAGGATGCTTTTGAAAACAGAAAAAGAGAGACGAATAATAATAGCTCAGATGTATCTGCCTCTGGCCTTGGGATAATGAGAAGGACTACATGACCTCAAGTTCACCTCCAGCTATATATTCTAGGATTCCCTCACTTTGGCTGAGATGCAAGCCTCTCAGCCAAAGGTGGAAACATTCAGGTGGCACCCCAGTAAACTGTCTCAGCAACTCTCCAGGTACCAGAGTAGCATGCTCTCCCAGATACTTCCTATGGGTGTGAAGAAACACATATCCCAGTGGCTTAGCTATTGATGAGAAGTAACCACTCTTAGTGGGAAACTACCTTCCATGTGATCTGCAAAGCTGTTTGCAAGAACACTTCTAGATCCCCTCACTCAAATTAGCAAAGGCCTACAGTAATAATTACAAAAGGCTGTGCCCACACCTCCCCACTTGGGATGACCCATAGCCCTTCAGAAACTTTCACTGGTAGAAGCGAATTTTTTTTTCTTTTTGAAACTCTGAAAAATTTGCTTCTCCCCATCTTCTCCTTACTAGGCCAGGTGGGTATCATTTCCATTGTTTCTACTCCTGTGACATTCCCACTTTCTTTTTGCCAATTCTATTAAATTTAGATGCTTAATTAATTCTCATCACTGCTGTATCTAAGGTCTTTCCAAATGCGCATTAGATGAACCTGGCCAAGATTGGTAGCTCCTGTGCCATGGGGCTGTGGGGCATTTTTTTGTTTGTTTTGTTTTTAAAACAGGTTTCTTCCTTTGCACTTTGCTATCAAGTTTTTGGTAAGTCAGGCAGGCAAAAGCCCACCAAGCATTTCAAGCAGAAAGTAATGTGCCTTAGGTCATTTCAGTCTCAAATCAGCCCTCCAGCTTTGTCTTTTCTCCATCTCACCAGCCACAAGCTTCTGTTCAACACTTTCCGAAGAACCTAGTACATTTGACAATCACCCCAAACTAATATAAAGAGCTGAGTATTTCCTTCCCACAGATCTGACAATAAAAGCTCTGATGATATATTCCCATTAGGTTTTCAGCTGTCTGAATCCAGTCCTTACCCCCTGTGAGGCATCCATTCTGGTTTATGTGAGACAGAACTTGCAAACCAGCTAGTTCTTCCTTCACACAGGCACTAAAATGAACCACCTTCAAGGTATTATTCCTGCCAAGACTGCACCTTTTCCATGCAGGCTCCCCTTCTCCCCTCTGGACAAGCTGCCCTCACTGGGCCTCAAGACTGCCACATCAGCAGGAGCCCACCACAGTACCCCTTCCCGGCGCATTGCCCCAGGCATCCAGCCCATATTCCCAGGCTGCAACCTGTCTGTGGAGTGCGAAGGACAGCCCTGCTGAGTGGCTCCTCACCAGGAGGGGAACATGCTCTCACCCCAGAAATTGCAAGGACCAGAGCAGTTACAGCTCGAAGACAAGTCAAAAGGACATCAGAGATTTAGCATCACAAGTTTGAGGTAAACTGGCATAAAATGGAAATGTAACAAAATGTACTAAAAACCATGGGCCAGACCCCATGGAGCAGAAACTGAGACGAGGGCTCCGTTTCTGCAGCTCTCCTCACTACTCTGTGACTGAACAAGATGCTTAGTATTTATAGGCCTTATTACATCACAAATTGCCGCTTTTGCTTTGGTTTTAAGTTCACTGAACACTACAAACTTTTTGAGAGCCCTGGGTAAAGACTATTATTGTTCCCAGGTAGGGGACACACAACGCTAGCCCCTTCCCATCTCTGTTCCCTAATGCATACCTCTAGCATACCACATTCTGTTTTTTCCAGCATCTCTGAGAGATGATGGTTTTCCAGCCTCAAGGTTTCCAGCTGGACCAGAATTACCTGAGGAGACAGAGGCAAACAACAAGCTCAGAAAAAAATAACACAACACATGCCCACAACACCCTACAGGCATTTTCCACCCTCAATTCAAGCATGAGTACAAAGCAAGGTTTGGGCCGTTAGTTCTGCAGGGACACTATAGAGAAGACAATACAAATAACCATGCACAGTTATTTACTTCAGTTTTCAAAGATATCATCATCCAGACCTAGTTAACATGAGTGATCTCAAAGAATTGTGTGGGACTGCCAGTTACAGGTTTGAGAAGCAGCAGCAAGACAGATTCACTGAACACCATAGATTAGAAGATTTCATCAGAAGGGTCTCAAAGTCTTTGTTCAAAGGCTGAAGAGAGAAGGAAACTATTAACATAGCTAAAAACTAGGGTGGTATTCCAAGCCTTCAGGTGTAAGAGTCTTCTGCCTTTTTTTACCCTGTGCTCCACCGCTTTCCTCTCCGCTCTTTCAATCTCTGTTCTCAGCCGTTGTTCTAGGTCTGATGTGGAGCCACTTGCAGATGCAATTGTGATGTCCCGCTGGTGTAACTCTTGTGTCAACCTGGAGATTTCCCTTTTCATCCCTTCTAGCTCACTGCTGTGAGTTTGTTCAGCTTGAGAGAGCTGCTCTTTCAGCTGGAGGAAGATATGCACCCATGAGCTTTTAAAAGATGTTTCAGCAAAAAAGCAAAAGTATTGCACACAGTAATGTGAAATCTAAGTATTGGAAAACAAAAAGCTCTATGTAACAAGCCCTCTGTGCATGCTTGTCCTTCCTGATTGAAAATCACCCCATCCCAATCCTTTTCCACACCATAAACTGCCAACTGGGACAAGACGTAAGTTATGCTGTGGAGTACTTGAGAAGACCCGTAATTGATCAAATCACAGTCTCTTTAGCTCACCATTCTACCTCTGTGGCCAACAACAGATACCCAAGAGTTTACCATCACTGGGCAAGCACAGTTAACACTTTCATAATATAACCTTGCAATTTGTCACTCTGCCTTCCTGAGGCAGAGATGGTATCTTTAAATAGCTCTAGCCAGACTTTTCTTCCACTAATTTGTCCTAAGTCTTCTGAATCAATATTAGCTTGTAGCAACTAAAGCTACCCATGGCAAACTTCCACAGGCTAGCTATGCACAGGGTATAAATATACGTCTGTTTTCGTAACTCCATTTGATGACAACTAGTCCTTGCATTATGAGAGAATAATCATTCCCTATTTACTTTCCACATGACAAGCATGATTTTATTTTTAGTATGTTCAATCTCATTTATCTCTTTTCCAGTTTGGTAAGTCCTATTCCATTCAGCTGTTCCTTGTACAAAGAACGCTCCATCCTTTCAGGCATCTTTTTCCATACCTTATCTTGTTTTATTCCATCGAGATGGCAGACCTGAATTGCATACAATATTCTGCTAGGCACAATGTATATTTATTCAGTGACATAACAGAACAACAACATAGCATAATTTCTTCCCTAGTATTCCATTGCATTAGCCATAAATATTAGCCACCCAAACCTCCAGGATTTTTCTGAGAATTACAAGCATTTTAGAAAATTGAACCAGATGATCTTCGCCTAGCCATGTAAATACAATACATATGGTGATTTATTTCCATGTCACCTCAATGCCTCCCAAGTATATAAAATAGAAACAACGATAATAAATCTCTCTTTCCTCCCCAGCAGTCTCTAGGAGATTCATTTATTGTGTGGCTGTTTAAATGAGTAACCAAGCACACATCTCTGCCAAGATCTGCACCTCTATACATTTTCACAGAAGTGAGGTTTTCCACTCAAGTCCAATAAGATTTCTACTCTAACCATGCACCAGTGAAAGCTCTCACACTAACTGATCTAGACCACTATTAGAAGTCAAGCCTTTTGGAGGGCTTGCCTCCCTTGGGTGCACAGAGCACTAGGGTGAGGTTCTTATGGCAGATGAGCTGCTCCATTTCTTCCAGACCCTGGTTCATGTCTAGGTATCAAGCCTGAAACAAACTCCCTTATTCGCATATGGACTAGAACACATTTGAAGCCCTGTCTCAAGTGTGACAGGACATATTACAGCAAAACCCATACCCTCCCTGTTCTCCATCCTGTTGGGAGCCTGCATTAGGCTTAAACTCAGGATTCCAAGCCTTAATTTCTTTGCATATTTGCCCCTCCAGCACTAATTCAAGTACCTCCACACTGTAAAGAAGTACTGCGTGATGTAGGGGCAGGCCTAACAGATGCTCACAAAGTAAACTGCACAGCCAGATTCAGAAACCTGCAAACCCATCCTCTCAACTCCTCTGTCAGACCTGCTCCTTACCTTCAGCCTATCACTGTCTCCACAACACTCCCAGCCTTTGATCCCATTTGGAGCTTTGCTAACTGTGCAGTGCAGTCTCTGCTGAGGCACAACACACACAGGAATGGCTGACTCCACAAGTGCCTTTCCCACTCTCCAGGAACAAAGTGACATTACCTTTTTAATCTCTGCCTTTGACACAGTATGGTGTTCTTCCATTGACTGCAGCTCTTTGATATTCTCATCCAGCTCTTCACTCAGCTGTACACACCTTGCATTTGAAGACACCAGGCTGAGTGCCAAATGTAAAACTACAGATTAGAATACCCCAAGGAGGAGGACATGGTCAGAGAAACTTTGTTCTTCCAAGCAATCTCCTGTGTCTGTCATAACAGAAACCAGACTCTTAACCTAAAAGTTCCTTACCAATCCTTTGGTTTTGTTTACCAAAATAATTTCAAACGAGATCAGGAAGCTGATCTAACAGATAATAGCTGGTTCTTGTTTCTTTACCATTCTAAGATTACAAACTTCCCATGCAAACATCAGTCTGAAAACCACAAACTCAAAGAGGAAGACTTGTTTATAATTCTTATTCCACAGTAAGGTCTAGATCTGGTTCTTACCAGCTGACTAACAAAGACTCAACCTATTACTAATGAAGGTGCTAAGCCTAAGCAAGCTAAAACACTGAGAACACCCACAGTGCATGGCGAAAAGCAGCCAACCAATTAGCAAAATAGCCTCACTATTAAACTGCAAAATGAACAGCATTTGATTTCTTCAGTCCTTTGATATTTAAAATAAGCCTACAAAAATCAGTAGGACTGGTTAACTTGATGAATATAATATATTAGGTATTATTTTATTATCCAAGTTTCATTGCATATCCAGGAGAAGCAAGCAGTTGGCTACCTGTTCTCAAGATGAGTCACTTCTGATTGTAAGTGCTGTGCCTTCTTCTGGGCAACATCCAGTTGCAGTAGTATATGCTCCAGCTCCAGCCCTGGAGAAGACAATTGTTTCTCTTGCAAGCGTTCCTCCAAGGCCCTAAACGGAAACATGAACTTTAATCTCAGCACAGAAGCGTCATGTCTGAGTTCACTAATACATGGAACATAACCACCATTTTCTTGGAATTCTCTGAAAAATACACAAAACCTAACACTACGTGACACCTGTGTGCATTGCGAATAAGCAAACACCCCAGCTGAATGACAGCCCCCTATTTGAATTCAGACTGATTAAAAAAGACTACATCCTATTTTGATGTTGGCCTCCCTGATCCAGACAGTCTCCCTGCCATTAGCAGACATCCACCCTGCAATAAATAGTGTGGCTGTTAGATAACATACAGCAAAACCTTTTGACACAGCCACCAGAACCCTCATAGCTTTTGCATGTTGCCAGTGCAAAGGGGAAGGCCAAGATGATTTTGTTACATATGTAAGTTCTTTTACCAAGACCCTAATCTGACATCATTAAATCGGTGAGAACCTTCACCTACATTAATAAGCACAGTATCAAATCCTGAAAGGCTTCCAGCGCTTGACTGAAAATGCCTGGAGGAAAAAAAGCTGAAAAGCTCAAAAGCGCTGTGCTGCTTCCAGAAACCTAGCTGAGTAGAAAGCTGATTCCTTCCACACTCTTCACTGAGTTATCAGTTGATTTCAAAAGCAATGTAATTTGGCAAATGCTGCAAGGAAGCACAGCACTTGTGAGAAACTACAGTGTACCATTCTATATATCAACCAATACAGATCCAGCTGTGTGAAAATGCTTCTACCATCCTCAGTGGGAGAACCCGGAATACAGATCTGGATTCAAGAGCGTTAAGTACCAGGGAGGCACAGATGCTACCTGATGAGGAGTTCTTTTGTGCGAAGAGTTTCAGCCACCCTGGCCAGCTCTTTCTGTAACTGCTCCTGGTGCAGCTTGGAGCTGTCAATGAAATCTTCCTGAGACTGCAAGGTGGCTCTAAGTTCCATCTTCTCATCCTGTAGCACCTGCACAGGAGGGAGAAGGAATGACTGTTGCAAGATGGACCAAATCAGTTTGTTGTAAGGTGATGAGAGGTTGAACAGATTTTTAAGGAACCCTTGGAAATACTGCAGAGCACCACATGGGTACAAAGCCAGCTTTGAGGGCAATCAGGAACTTCTCAAAGGCTCTAGAAAGAGATGGGAGATCTGGGATGAAGCACCTTCCTGCTACTTCTCACGAGCACTGCTTTATATTCAGTTTCCTAACAGTTCCTCCACTGACCTCTAACATTTTCTTGGACTGCCTTAATTCTTCTTGAACTCTTTGCTGATCTTCCAGAATCATCCGATTGTTTTCAGTCAGGTCATCGACTCTCATGTTAAGCCTCTCCACCTCCAACTCGTTGGCACAGATAGCATCATTGGCCCTCTCCAGCTTGCTGGTTAAGTGCTGGATTTCCGATCGGCTAGCCAGCTCCACTGACTCCAGAATCTGCTTCCGATTGGCAAGCTGAGTCTGCTAAGAGCAACTGGTTTGCATTAAAGCTAAATTATAAAAAACACAGTGTCTCAAAAGTACATTCAAAACAACTACTGATTTATTTATATAACAAGTCACATTCTCAAAATAAGCAACTCTACCTTTCAGGGAATTAGGGAAAGTATTGTTCCAGGGTTACACGACAGGTAAAACTTCTGAATGAGAAGAAAAAAAAAAAAAAAAAAAAACCAAAACAAAGAGGTGGCCCTCTGATTCCAAAAGAGGTTCAAAGAGAATCTGGGAAAAGATGATCTCAAATCACTCAAGTTGTCCAAGCATGAACTAAGAACAAAGCTGCCTACTATTTTTTGCTCGTTAACCTAAGGCTAGACCAGGAGAAACAGCAGCATGTAAGGAGGTTTGCAAATACCATACACAAACTAGAGATTACCCAATTGTTAATTCCATGCCAGGACAGAAAGCAGTTCTTGGTGCACAATGAAAAGAAATGACAACCACCAAACAGATCAAAAACTGAACTGGGTGTAACAGTCAATTATGTTTTGCTTTATGCAGTAAGTATCTGGTTCTAACAGTTTGCAAGAATGCTCACTTTGAATGTTTCATTGTTATAATGGCAGACAAAAAAAGTTATAAGGAACATATGACTAGCAAACAATATATGCTCTATTATTTATAGGCACAATACTTTATTTTATAGCCTTTCTTTCCACGTAGCTAGCCGGTGAAATTCAACAAGCCAGCTCTCATATGAGCTTCTAATAACATTCACTTATGTATTCTCTTTTTGTATGGTACCTTACCATTTTTAAAAGCTGAAACAAAATATTTGAGCAGTCCTTTAGTCCCAATTTCTAAGAGTAGCAATTCCTGCCAGCTTCAGAATCACTGCATGCCTTGATTTATTGCCTGACACATAATGGCTCATAACTGAGAAAACGATAGGAACTGTGCATTTGGAAGACTATGGTATAATTTTGATTACAGTCTTTTCATTATTTGAATAGTCATGACAGAAAAGGTAATCAGGAGTGGCAAGAGTTTGAAGTACAGCCTTTCTCCACCCAAGAAAGTGGAGTACCAGACTACCTGAATATTTATTTCTACATTAAGAAAACATTTAAGCTATCTCTTATTTCCAGCCACAGAACATACAGGACAGCACAGAATTCCAAGTTTCACCTGTTGACTTTAAAGGCTGCAGGTGTTACAGGAAGGTGCTCATCACTGGGTAAGATTGCCAGGCTTCCCTAAGCTGCACTGAAAGATATGAGGGGAAGCCAGCTGAAAGAAGAGAAAGGGGAAGTACTCCATGGTCACAGATCTCAGCTTGACCTTGTACCAGAAAAACAACCAAGCATACAAAATCCATAGAACCATCCAAGGCAAAAATTTAGCACTTTCATGCTGGGCTTTTCAAAGAAATTGAGGATTCAGGCAGCCTGTTCACAGTACCTATGCACCTAAGTCATCTACACCGCTTCGGAAAAATCTCCCCAAATTCCTGTTTTTCTCCTGCACAGTAAGAGGAGTTCCTCTGTGCTCCAGTATACCAGCCTGCACTCCAAGGACACATCTGTTCTCAGACAATTGAGCTATCAATGATACAAAGACAGCAGAGCAGCAAGACCTTCTGCTCAATGACTCTCTGCATTTGTACATCTACTAGTGTCAGCCTCTCACAAAGCCCCTGTCAGAGCCAGCTTCAATCCTGTCATCACAAGCCTCCTCCTCGCAGGAGCTTCCACTCAAGAGCAACTCAGGAGCCCATTAAGTGTAAAGCCCCCAGCAAGAGCTTCTTATCAGTGTCTGCTGTGATTGTGTCAGTGTGACTTCACAGCTGTGCTCTAGGTCAATTCATCTTGCTCTGCTGCAGCACCACTAACTCACTGAACAATTAGCTTTTCAGGAACAGCAGCCCCACTACTTGATGCCTTTAAGAGACATTACAAAAAAAAAAAAAAAAAAAAGGGGGGGGGGGCGGAAAACTGCTCTTACTTCAGAAAAGAACATAAAAAAAAAAAAAAAAAAAAAAGGGTGGGGGGGCTGAAAACTGCTGTTACTTCAGTACTTTGCAGAAGTATCTGTCGTAGGGGAAGACTATTTTCCAACATCATCCTCTGAGCTGGACCTACAAGGTACATATTTAGCTACTGGCAGGTACACAGCTTTGAACTAGACAACATGATGTAACAGCTATTTTAAAGTGTCATATGCTGTGGTCTCTGTCTCCTAGGGAAAGCTTCATCCTACTGTCTTCTTTACTAATTGGAGGGGTGGAGGGGTGGCAGGGAGAGCTGCATGCGGTTTATCTAACCTCTGTCAACAGACTCCAGATCTTTTTTCCGTACAGCACTTATACAAGTAAACCTTATTCCACTGGGACATTAAAAGTCATTTCAATGGCAACCTAAACTGGATTCAAGCCTGAGAGATTTCATTAGTCACTCCCTCTTCCGCCCTCCCTCCCTCCATTCCCACCTGCTGCCACAAACAAAACAAAAACTTTCAGCACATACTAATTGTACCTGAATGAGCTCAGACTGCTCAGCCAAAGCCTTCCTCTGTGCTTCCAGCGATGCCACCTGCTGCTGGTAAAGCAAGCGCTGCTTCTCCCAGTCAAGTGATTTTTGACGAAACTCCTGCAAGGACAGCAGGGGTAGCTTGGAGCAGTATGTCCATGCAGTTGACAAGAAGGCCCCCTTCTAGTTCATATCCATGTTAGCTTTTTCTCTCCACCATATCTTTATGCACCTTTCCCCACAGCAGGAAACCATTAGCCAGTTATTTGATGCACCAACTCAGCAGTATAAAACCCCTCACATACTGTGCTTGCTGTATTTCTTTCCCTCCCGAGTTAAAACGTCAGTGTCAATTATTGCTGTTTACAAATGGTAAGTGCTAACAGATTCATGGCTAGTTTCATGGATTTGCTGTCAGAGGTTTAACAATTCAGACTAGCAAAGCATGCTATTGAAATCACTAAGATGGCAAGTATGAACTACAGATTTTTAATGCTAATCTCTGCTCCAGAAATTGGACACTGCATCAGTCAGATGTGTTTGTTAGCCACATCTTCAGGGTACGGTAAAAGAAAATTGAGTGCAGTTGAGCTCAGCATAGCAGAAAGATTAAAAGATGAGACAGGGTTGAGAAGTTTGACATGTAGCTCCCTCCTCCTCAAAAGAAGTGTGATGATAACCTCACCACACTGGAATTCATTCCATTCACATAATTAATTACCCTTCCAGAACCTTCTTCCTTTTATTTAGTTTAAGAATGTCTTGGTTTCGGCTGGGATAGAGTTAATTTTCTTCCT